AGGGTCATGGAGGCACGCAAGCCATCACACCGCGTCAAGGTGCAGTCTCGTCGTGATGGAAAGATGGGTTATGCTATAGCGTGTAAATGGAAAATGAAAAACGGCCTGATCAGCTGTCCGGTGGCCGAGTGGGTAGTGTGTTTACGTTCTGCCCATGAGGTAATTGGTTCGATGGATTCGCATTGCTGATGAGACCTGAACATGTCGAAACAGTTGTCCAGTGCTTCCTAGCTTTTCAGTTCGCGCTTCATTTGCCATATACACGACGAATTCCCATTTGAAATCTAATCAAATCCTCCAATACTCACATGAAATTCTCCGTTTTACAAATCCATGCAATCCTTACCTTATATTTTTCTCATTTATGGTCACTATATATTTATCTACTTGTCTCCTGCGCANCCCAAATCACCCCTTGTCGCTTTACAAAGCTCAGATTCGCCCTACACTTGAATACTGCAGTCATGTGTGGGGTGGAGCTTGATCCACCTCTTTCTCTTCTTCATCGAGTTCAACGTAAGGCTATTCGTATCATCAAAGACCCATCCCTAACACGTAATTTTCAGTCACTAGCTCACCGTCGGATAGTCGCTTTTTTATCCTTATTCCATCAAAACTACTTTGGATTTTACTCTAGTGAACTTTCCGCTTCTATTCGTCTCCCGCTTGCTCTTTCTTGAAGACCCCGCGCACAAGCGGCTAGCCACTCATTTCAAGTGACTATCCCCAGGTGTCGCATTTCTAACTTTCAATCATCATTTTTCCCAAGAACAGAACAGCTGTTGAACACTTAGTCCATTTCGGTCTTCCCTTCAACGTACAACTTCCTTACCTTTAAACTCAGAATCCACAAGATGGTTTTGGCTTGAATGTTCCCCTTACCTTCCCACGTACAGCATATCCTTGGATCATGGGGTTTACCCCTTTTACTCTATCCACTTTCGTATAATAAAAAATACTTCCGGAATACATCAGGATAAAATCTTACATCTATGGCTAACCCTACAATCTTGCTGAGCATGCGCTTGGTTTGGATATGGGACTGAGTAAAATCCGTCTATTACCAATACTACACGCGATTGGTAATCGAGACTATTGGAACCAATTGGGAACATTGACCAATGGAACAGCAGGAGAATAGATTTTTGGTTCGGTACCATCCTTGCCAGGTGGATTGAAATTTACTAGCACAGTATAAAACTTAACAGATCCAAACCGACATGCGCGACGAAGTAGGCGAACATTCGTATTCAGTTCCCTCTCATCGGAAAAACAAACGTTTCCGAATGTGTATGAACTGAGTGAATCAATCGGTTTTAACTTTGTACAAGCAAGCTACAGGTACAAACTGGTGGGACGATTTGATGCACTAGTGCATAGCAACAGTTAAATCTCGCAAACCTATTTTTGGCTCCCGAAGGGAAGCAGAAAGACAAAAACAACAAATCGAAAACGAATACAAAAACAGAAGCTCGACAGCTGCCCTCCTCGTAGTTCTTTCATCAGTCACGAGCTACTGAATGAGTGCTACTCCGCATGAACATGAGGCTCACTACTTATGCTGGAGGTTGGGGAAGGGGTTCGAACCTCGGACCTTAGGGACCAAAGTACGTCGATGACGGTGACTTAAACGACCTGAACATTTTCATGTGTAATTTGTTTATTCATAACTGTGACAGTCTTCCGACGACAACAGACAGGATTTCACATTGCAATTGAAATGGTTGTGATGGAAATGTGTGATGACCGACAGAGAGCACTGGACAACTGTTTCGTCCTGAGCTAATTTAAACACAACACTAGATTGATAAATTAGTTTAAAATAGCAATGATTATTTAAAAATAATGAATCAATGAATGGCAATAGCATAAGCATCAGAACCTACTTGTTGTCTTTAAAGTAGTCTTTCAAATTCGAGCTAAACTGTCGGCAGTAGAGTAAAAAATTTTGCTTTTGCTCCCCGAGCGCCTTCTTGTGAGCCCCGGAAGGTGAAGATTCGTAGACGTGTGTGACTGAATCCAGAAGCTGTTTGATTGCACTAGCAATAAGTCTGAAAAAAGAAAAACAATTATTCAACTGGGACTTGGACCTACTTAATCAACTCAATAAAACATCGACGATCACAAATCTCATCCGGTATTGTGCTCAAAATCTTCTTCAGCTCTTGTGCCCGATGCTCTAACTCCATTAACTGTTGGCGCCGATGTCCGGTACGATGAATGGGAGCTGAGGGATGAAAAAAATATGCTGCATAATGCTGATTTTATTGCTACCTCCTTCTTGAAAACCAGCAATTCGAAGGCCGGTTTCAAACAAATCCACCTCTTTCTCCAATCCCAACCGCTGAAGTAAACCAATGATAAATTCCTGGCTGAAGCCTGGATAACGTTTCTCCACCTGCACAAACAATCGGATATACGCTAAGTACATGTGTAACAAACTTTGTAAAACGCTTCTTTGAGCTTCTGAGTTGATGCGTAATCTACCTCTTCCATCTGGAACGAATATGGACTTTAATTGTATGCAAAGATGATGTACCTTGACGAAAGTTGGTTCAAAAATGATTTGACGTGTTGCATTAGCACTGCTCATAAGTGGGCCTTGAGGTGCATTTGTGTTGGACCACCTCGCTGCTGCCATTTTGTTCCGCTATTCGAATGATGGAAGTGTTCAATGGCTACTACAAACAATAGAAAGATAAATGAACTGAAAAACAGCATGGAGATTTTGTGGATACTTTGGGAAGAATCAAGTCAACTAAAAAATGGGTTCATTTGCAGAAAATACCAAATAGAATCCTTCCATGTGAAATAGAAAGAAGATATTTACTCCATCAGAAACGATAAAAACTGAGCGACTCAATGCTAACGCATACCAGCTAAACTGATTAAGTGCATGTAGCTTAAAGAAACGACTATTGCGGTGGAAAGCCGCATCGACGTCATCTGGCCCAAGCTGACCCCATCAGGACGATTTGTGGTTCGACATTCAAAGTCACTAATTTTAATAACCGAGCAGCCATTATAAGGCCTTTCTCTTTCATTGCTTATCACACTGTAAAGTTCTCAAAGTATACAAACTAAGTGAGTATATGGAATGAACAGGTTGTGGGGGCACTCGGCATAGGATGAAAACCACCGACATTATATGACTAACACAGAGCACTGTTTTAGGGTACCAGAGCAATTTTACTATCACGGTTGAGTACCGTAAGTAATGGGACTTTTAAATCAACCAACTCACTGGGCGACTGAGATATCCGGTTTAAATGTCATCTACTTCTCCAGGTGGTGGGCAACCCTGCTGTCGCCGGTTCACTACCATGCTCCACCTATTGGTACCTTATGTGATTTACCACTCCAAGTCCCAGAATTGGGTTGCCGGTCTTCTCTCACACCTCAAATGAAAAATACAACTCACATGAATCATAGAACGCGCACTCCACCTAAAAACTTACAACGCTCTATTGTCCTCACTAACATTCGTAGTTCAAACCCTAATAATAATTCTGTACATCATTTTCTCCAATCCTCTTCCCTTGGCTTTCTGATCGATACGCGAATCTCTCCTTCAAATCCCTAAATACTTCCTTAGTTTTTCTTTTCTTCCTAAAGCTGGTTTCTGCACCTATATCCATTATTCTATCGCTTCTTCCAGTGAGGTCCTGGGTTCGATCCCCAGTTAGGTCGATGGATTCGCACTGCTGATGAGACCTAAACAGGTCGAAACAGTTGTCCAGTGCTTCAGTTCACGCTTCATTTGCCATATATACGACGAATTCCCATTTGAAACCGAATCAAATCCTCCATTACGCACTTGAAAATATAATCTTTATAAAAAGAAAAAAGTTCCATGGTTTGCATTGAATGTAATGCGAGATGTGGTCATGCTAGGAGTCCAGTGACATGCTGACCGCACTACATTCATGAAGCAATGAAATGGCGTCATCCAAAAACGATTGGATTAGATTGAAAGTCTTGCAAGGAAAGTTAGTGATAAATAGAGGATGGTGCGCGCAAGTAGTGGACCTTGGAGGACGCCGGTACATACAGGGAACGGCTGAAATAGAACCACATCGACTCGAAAGATGGTTCGCTTACAGAGCAAACTTTAAAAACAATATACGATAGCCGCAGGTAAATGGAACGTAGGCAGTTTTGCGCCAAACTCGGTCGAAGGCATTTGAAACGCCGAGCGAGGCCAGGTGCGTTTCTCCGTGTATCAAATGCAGCTCACCATAATTATTAGAAGAGAGACATCAGGTCAGTGCTTGGAAGCCGTATTGGCGATCGGTCAGGAGTCCTTAAAATTCAACGGGCAAAAGCAGATGATTGGAGCAAAGGGTTTCAAATAGAACAGATGTGAAAGGAACAGGACGGTAATTATTCGGGACATCATCATCATCTTATAGCGAAATATAGTGAGGTGAACTTCACCGATCGCTGCCAAACTCGCAAAGCGTACAATGTTAGTGGTACAATTTAAGGTGGACAGGGATGGGCCTATTTTGAAGGAGGGGGAAGAAGGTGAACCTCTATGATCAACACACAGAGTACGCAATCGAACTCTGCATACATACCGCTTCAGGCATTCTAACCTGATAAGAAATGACAACAAGAACATCACTGCTGTCGGTTCGCTGCCATATCCTTCAATGTCTCCAACCAACCATTTAGTTTCGGAGCGGGAGTAGACGAAACCCATTCCTGCAGCACCACTTGGCACTTTGAAGGTGCGAAGCATATACCCAATGTGGCTACTGCACTTGTTAGTCTATTAAGTGTGCTTTGCGCGTCTTCGATACATTCGAACAGATAGACGATGTCATCGGCGTACTCTAAATCGCACAGCTTTTCTCCAGCTGCCCATTCAATATCTACGTTTTGGGGTCCACTTAGTGCGTTCTCCCGTATTTCGTCTACGACGAAACTGAACAGAAAAGGCGAAAGAGGGCATCCTTGACGGATGACGCTGCTGGTGACGAACGGCCTACTTAGCTTGTTGTAAACCCTTACACGACCGGAGGTATGTGAGTACAGTGACCTCAGTAGGTAAATGTACCTCTGGGGCATTCTTTTTCGAAGAAGGGAGCCCATCAAAGCTTTGCGGTCAACTGAGTCGAAAGCTCCTTTCGGGTCAGGGAACACTGCGATCGTTGGCCGGTGGTGGGTGTGACGCAGCTCGAGTACCTGATGCAACATACACATTTTATCAATACATTCACGACCAGGCCGGAATCCGGCTTGCTGTTCACGGATGTTGATCTCTCTTAAAGGAGTCAGACTTCGAAGTATGACCGAGGATAGCACTTTGTTGACGATCGGAATCAAACTTATCCCACGGTGTTTTTCGCAATCTTGTCGAGGGTGGTAATAGACCTTACGAGGTTATTACTCCACATCTTGAAGAGAGTGGGAGGAAGCTCATCTGGTCCTACTGTCTTTCTCCACTTTGGAGCTTGAATGCAGGACTGAACTTCTGTTTTTGTTGGAGAATCACACGAGACTGCTCACGGAGCTTCCGTTGCGGATGAGCCAACCTAGTTAGCGGCAGGCCAGTTAAACTGTTCGCTGGAGTATTCTGTCCAGCGATCAAGTCGTTCATCCCTATTGTGAATAGCTTTCCCTCTCTTGTAGCAAACTGTTTCACTAACTGAAGTTCGCCAACCTCCCGTGTTGTATATCAGTCCGAACACTCTTTGACTACTCCCTGATGCAGCTGCTACTTCCATCTCACTAGCTATTGTTGCCCGCCAGTTCTCACGGTCCCTGTTAAGGCTCTTCGTCAGCCGACGCTTCAGGCGCCACCTAACACTGTTTTGATCCTGGCAGCTCGGGATTTGTCGTTTTCGATTCATCAGTGCTACACACTCACCAGATATCTAATGCCTTCGACGGATATGAGGCTCAGTCCCGCAAACAACATTCTCAGCGGAATACATTGCTCGTCTAATCTGATCTCACTGCTCATCTAACACATCACTTTGAAGCGCGTTTAGCTCACGTACTAGCTCTGACTCAGAGTGCACGAACTATAGGAACAGAAAATCGATGATGAGCTATCCGAGTTTGCTAATTTGTTGACGATCAGTCAGTTGCAGAGTGAACGGCATCAAAACTAATGCGTGGTCAGACTCAACGTGGGTGGTCCAATAGGACCTGCAATTTTGTAGGGAGCCACGCCAACGGTAGCTTACTGCTATGTGGTCGATTTGAGTTAGCGTACCAGTTGAACTGGAGCGCCACGGTACCGTTCGTCGAAGTCTGTGTTGAAAGTTGGTGCTTGATAGGAACAGATGATGGTTTGCACAGAGCTGAAGAAGTCGATCGTCTTTATCTGTTCGTTGGCAGGGCAGAGCACAACTACCGCCTAAGCAAGCTGCCGATGCGCTCATTTTTCCAACTTGCGCGTTGAAGTCACCTACAAGTACAACTATGTCGGAACTTCGACTCAGCCGCATGAGATCGGTGAATTCATCGTAGAAAGCGTCCTTTTGTGTGTCAAAACCGCAATTAGTCGGTGCATATGCCGATATGACGAACAAACACCTTTTGATGTTGCTTTCCTTCCGGACGCTGATTGATTGACGAACTGCACATAAATGACTGTTGACGGGGATCCAGTCAACAGGAGAAGACCCCGCCCTGTTGCTGAGTACTATACCTACCCCGCGTTGACGTACTGAACGAGCATCATCGTCACCTGATGTGCTAAGAACGTATCTCGAGGACAAATCTGGCACACTCAGGTGGCTTACAGTAATAGGATCCTGGATCCGAGTTTCCGACACGCAGCAAATATCGATCCCAAGGATTCCATTGTACGAGCCAGACAAGCTTGTTGACCTACCTGCATCAGGGTCCTCACGTTCGAGGCCCTCAGATTCAGTGATTGACGATTCTTCAGAATCTGCAATCCATTTTATGGCACATTACAGTGTTATTTGGCAACAACCTTAGGTGGGCGACATCCAAGTTGCTTGAGGGAGTATTGCAGGTCGGAAGAAGGGGAATATGGGGAGGGCTGAGTGCGGAAGACAGAATTAAACAAAGGTTGGGATTAGGGCAAAGAAGGACGCAGGGTGGTGTCATCGTCAAAAGCATGAATAGGATTTGAAGTTGAAAAAAGAAGGTCATCGTAAGCATCAGGAAAAGGGAAGGGAAAAGTACGGCACCCTGGAGAACACCAGCATTCACAGGCACGGAACGAGACATGGTCTCATCCACTCGAACGGAGATGCTGCGGTCTTTGAGATAGCTTGCTATTCAGGACACAAGTTCCCAAGTAAAGCCAAAGTTAGGTAGTTTAGCCCTCAGACCCGCGTTCCAGACACGGTCGAAAACTTTTGATATATTCAATGACACTATGTGGGTTTCTCCGTGGTTGTCGAGTGCCGCTGACGAGGTATGCGAAATGAGCGCCAGAAGGTCATCGAATGATCTGTGGGATCAAAAACCGTACTGGCGGTCGCTAAGCGTCTTGTTCTGCTCCATTT